ACTGGAAAGATGAAAATGAGCGATAGTATCCACTGGTAACGAGAGAGTGGGTTGTAAGTTTATTACAAATGGGGGCGTTTAAGAATTGGGAAGGTATGCTGGTAATAATGATTAACATTTACTGAGCCCTTGCAAGGTGCAAGGCATTGTGCTGGGTGCTTTTACCGCACTCTCTCAATTTTACCAACCCTATGTGGTTGGTCTGTATCATTTCCATTTTATAGATGACAAAACAGGATCAGAAATGTGGAGCCACTTGCCCAAGGTCACACAGCTAGTAAGTAATGGAACCAGGATGGAAACCATACTCTTAACCATCATTCCACAGGAATTCAAAGCAGGTTCAAGAGCATATCCGTTTGGAGAATGNCTCAGAAGAGGTGAGGGGATGAGGGGACATTAAGTGACTTGCCCAAGGTTACTGGGAGGTTCCTGACTTGACTTCTGATTGACAAGTGAGAAGGCCTTGGGCATCAATTGTTTCCTGTCTAGTTCTCCAAAATTGGGATCCGGGCCTGTGGGAGCAGGCAGAAGGGAAGGCTAGTTTGGAGTTGTTCTTCCTGATGATCAAGGGGCGCTTACAGAGGTGGGGGTTGAGGAGGTAGGGGTTAAGGCAAGAATTCACCCCAGGGCTGCCCCTTCTCTCATCTGACTCTCTGTGTCTTCTGCAGACGGACCAGCAGGCGGAGGCCCGGTCCTACCTCAGCGAGGAGATGATCGCTGGTGAGCGGGGTGGCGGGCTGTCTGCTGGGGGGATGTTTGGTATCTGGGCAGGGTGGGAGGGCAGATGTGAGGCTGACAGTCCAGCCAGGCTTACCTCAGTCCTCTGCCTCCCTTCACCTCGCAGAGTTCAAGGCCGCCTTTGACATGTTTGACGCTGATGGTGGCGGGGACATCAGCGTCAAGGAGTTGGGCACGGTGATGAGGATGCTGGGCCAGACACCCACCAAAGAGGAGCTGGACGCCATCATTGAGGAGGTGGACGAGGACGGTGAGCGGGTGGCCCTCCCAGGCAGGGTGCGAGGTGGGGGTCGGGAGAGGCGGGCATCCAGGTGTCCGGGACTCAGCGTCACCCACCACCTGCTCCCTTCAGGCAGCGGCACCATCGACTTCGAGGAGTTCTTGGTCATGATGGTGCGCCAGATGAAAGAGGACGCGAAAGGCAAGAGCGAGGAGGAGCTGGCGGAGTGTTTCCGCATCTTCGACAGGTGCGTTGGCTGCCCAGGAGCCGAGGCAGGCGCCGAGCAGTCGGAGACCGGTCCGAGAGCACGAAGATTATGGGGTCCCGGGGGCGGGGTGTGGAGTGTGGTGGGGGCAGCGAGCCCCTGCCTGCCCTGAGCCCCGCCCTGTCCCTCCCCCCCGAAGGAACGCAGACGGCTACATCGATTCCGAGGAGCTGGCTGAGATCTTTAGGTCCTCCGGGGAGCAAGTGACAGACGAGGAGATCGAATCCCTGATGAAAGACGGGGACAAGAACAACGATGGCCGCATTGACTTCGACGGTGAGGCCACAGGAGACTGGGGAGCCGGGAACGGAGCCGCGCGGGGAGCACCCAGGGCGGGGCGCCCATGCAGCCGGCACCCGCGCGGGTGGCTAGCTTTACGGGTGGGGCTGGGCTAGCCTGACCGAGCTCCTCCCGCGGGCGGGGAGGGAGCTCCAGCCGGTCTCAGCGTGTCGGGAGCCCTGGCCAGGCCTCACTCGCCGCCCACTGACACCGCGCCCCTGGCACAGGGTTCAGCGCCCCGAGGGGACCCCTGACCGCCTGTCGCTCTCTCTCCCTCCCGCAGAGTTCCTGAAGATGATGGAGGGCGTGCAGTAAGAAGTCGGCCCTCGCCTCCACCGAGACCGCGCGACCCTCGGGCGTGGGGGCTTCTCCCCGCCCCGTGCCATTCCCTGCCCGGGAGGGAGGCGCGGCCCCTTTGGGGATTCCTTTCTAGAAGGAATAAAAGCAATTGTTGCAAAGCGCTTGGTCTGAGTGAAGGAAGGATCTAGCAGCGGGTGTCGGGGCTGCTTTGGCTGGACAGGGCGCCACCCCGGTTGGCGCCACCCGACGCCTTCCGGCTCCTAGAAAAGGCGACTCCAGCAGCGGGATGTGGAAAGGCGCCGGGTCGCAGGAGCCCGAGGCGGCGGCCGTCGAGTGCAGGGTGGCGCCCGACGAGCTCGGCAGGTTCGCGGCGGGCTACCAGCAGCTGGCGCTGGGCGTGGGCAGCTCCGCGGACCCGCTGCAGTGGTGCCTCGCGCCGCAAGAGGGAAGCCACAGGGGTTTCGATCTGAGTCAGGGTGAGCCGGCGGCCCTTGGAGGATGCCCCGGACTGGGGTAGGGAGGTCTCCGGAGGAGGCTGGACCCCGGGAGAGGGGAGAGGCAGGGGTGAAGCTGCTTTCTTTCCCCACTGTCCCTCCTTTCTGGAGCCTTTGGGTCTTGGGCGCATGCTACCGGGCTGGGGATGGGGGAGTGGGTGTCCATACATCCCAGGCAACGTTATTCCCGCTTGACCCTTGCCACTTCGTCTGTTTTTCTGAGCGCTTATAGGTGCTTCGTACTAGTGATGGTAGGGGAGGGTGGGGCACTCGGCCAAGAAGGAGGTTCTGACATCACCTCCATCCTGGATTCCTGCCTCTCCCTGGTCTCGCGGCCTTTAGCCCCCGCCCTCCCCTCCCGGCCACACACACACACACACACACACACACACACACACACACAATGGGTTCAACAGAAGGCCATCGGCATGATCTAGCTAAAATGAAATCTGACCTGGCCACTCCCCTGTTGAAAGTCCTTCAAGGCTCCCCATTGCTTCTAGAATCAAATCCAAATTCCTCCTCCTCCCTTCCTCCCTCACTTCCAACAATCACCCCTCCCATCTCTGGGTCCAGCCACACTGGGCAATGTATTATTCCTGCTCTGGACAGTGCACATTTAAGCCTTTGGGCCTTTGCAGGTGCGGTTCTCCCTCCTAGGAACGCCCTTCCTTCTCTAATAAGCCTGGCAAATTCTTCAACCCAGCTCAGATACCATCTTCTCCTCCCTCGATCCCTGCCCTCCCTGGCTGCAGGCTGACTTCCACAGCTCTTTGATCACAACCCAATTATAACAGGCACCAGGTCAAACCTAACTGAGTGCAGTGGTAGTTGAGCTCTAGTCAGGCTACCTGAGTTTGAATCCTCATTGCTGGTGACAAGTCAAAACACTCTGTGCTTCAGTGTCCTAATCTGTAAAACGGGGATAATGGTGGTACTTACCTTACAGGGTTGTGAGAACGGGTTCCTGTGTGCCAAGTGCTTAGAACAGAGCCTGGTACATAGCTTCAGCGTTTAATAAATGCGGTTATCAATATCATTATCACCATCATTCCTGAAACATTGAACTCCACTGTTATTCACCGCTTACAGCCCTCCCTCCCGCTCCAACTTTTTCATGTTCTTGCCTCCCATTCATGTTTCCCAGTTTGTATTTCCAGCCATGATCAGTTTTGGGGTCTAGCAATCCATCATCATGATTGAGTGCCTACTGTGTGCTATGCCCTGCGCCTTGCAGGCATTATCTCATTCCTCCACACAACCCAGAGGCACACCATCTAATGAGCTCCATTTTACAGGCGAGGAAACTAAGGCCTGTGAGGTGAAGTATACAGGCACTCAGCTAATAGCCCTAGATGATATTGCCCGGTGGTGGAAACAGGAGCAAGGCTTCACTCTGATACTATCTACCTGTTGACAGTCCTACCTGGATGTCCGGAGTACTTCAGACTGGCCCTGCCCTAAACTGAGAAGTCCCCCTACTCATCCATCTGGTTCTGGTTCCGTCTCAGAGATGGGGCCCCAGTCAGGCATTCCGGAGCTCATTTCCTGCCTCTATTTGATGTGTCCTGCTGTTTTCTTTTCACCATTTCATCCCTCCTCTCCACACCCACTCAGTGACTTAACTCAGGCCACCGCAGTTGCTTACCAGGCTGTTGATAACAGTAGTTGACCTCCTCCCCGCCCTTCACTCCTCAGACAGCAGACAGAGTAATCTTTCTAAAACCAAATCTGATCATGTCACAGCCCTGCTCAAGGCTTCATTAGCTGCCTGTTGCCCTCGAGTTAATGCCCATTTTAATAGGACCTTTCAAGCCCTTGGTGACCTGACCTTATGTCTTTACCCCTCCCCTCTGCCCAACCCCCTGAACATCCTGCTTTCCAAGGAGCGTGCTTTCTTATTCCAGCCTCATGGACCAATCCTTTTCCAGAAAGCCTTCGTTAGGTGCCCCACCTGAGCTTGCCTAGCACCATGTGGGCCTAGCACCCCACATTTATCAAGTGCTATGTGCCAGGCACTGTTCTAAGGTCCTTCATCCATCCTCTGAGGTAGCTACTCCTATTCCCATTTGTCAGAGGTTAAGTCAATATGCCCAAGTGGACACAAGGAACATGGGCGTGGAGTGGGGATTCTAACAGTTCTTCTGCCTCGTGGTCTGAGCTCATAACCACCTGATTGGCAGTTACTCTATCGACCCTGTTGATACGCCTGTCTCCCCCTTGAACTTTAACCTCTGAGCACGAGACTGTGTCCTTTTCCCTGCTTTATCCCCAGCCTCAAGCATAGGGCCTTTCCCTTGTAGACATTCAATAACTGTATCGAGTAAATAAGAATAATAATTTCACCTTCTAATGCTTAGACTGTACTAGGCTTCTCTCTCTCTCTTTTTTTTAAAGATTTTATTGGGGCAGCTCCAATAGTCACTAACATTCCTGGTGCATGTCACAACTCCAAGGAAGTAGGCATTGAGACACCAAATTTATAGACGAGGGAACAGATGCAGTCATGAAATAACTAAGGTCACAAGGGAACAAATCTGTCACCGCACTGCTCAGCCCTACAGCCTGGACATCCTAAAAGACAAGTGTTTCTCCCTGGAGAGAGATGAGCCCGGATCCTAGGAGCCTGACGCCATCGCCCCTGAGCACTTCCAACCCTAGGGTGACTACAAGGCAGCAACTTGTAAAAAAACCAAACCAAAACAAAAAACAAAACATATTTATTTCATATATTCACCACAGGGGTTCAACCAGAGACTTAATTTAAAAACAGAAACAAAAACAAATATGACACCACAGCAGAAGATACAGAGTGTTATACAGAAATTAAGGAAAGGACAGACCATCTAAAGAAAAAAATCAGACAGCACAACAAGAGAGACGCTGGACAGCCCGGGTCAGGGCTCTTGGCTGGAGACCTGCTTTGCGTACGTTTCCTGCAGGTACTTCTTAAAGGCTAGAAGAGAACAGGCAGGTCTTGGTGAGTGATGGGGACAGGAGTTAAGGTGGGCGAGAGGGGCAGCAGGGATGCAAAGGTGGGAGGAGTTTTTCTGGGGATGGGTCCCCCGCACAACAGATTCTCCCTCTGCTGTCCACCCAGTCAGGTCTCCTGGATGGGCTCTGCTTCCAGTGAGACTGAGGAGGGAACTAGGAGGCCTTAGTGGGCAGGTCATTTGCACAAAGCTTTGCCTTCTACTTAAAAAGCCCCTCAAGCTACCTTCATGTGGAAAGGGTTAACTGATTTTATGTCAAACAAGCCAATGAGAAACACCAAGGCAGAGGTAGGACTGGATTCCTTGGGTTGATACTCCCCTGTCCCCGCCCCCAAGTCACTGAGATCCTTTTGTTTGAGGGAGCCTTTGAAGGCTGGAGAGGGATCACCTGGTGCCCAAGAAGGATGAAGGACCCACCTGTGGGGTTTTTCCAGAGCTCGGCAGCATGTGTGTTCAAAGGGCTATCGATGTTGGGCTCTGTGGGTGAAGAGAAAAAGAATAATCAAGGGGGTAGGAGAGGCTGGCTGGGGGAGTCCTGCAGGCTCTCAGGTTGCAAGGGAAGGGCTAGGCTCAGAAGTCACCTCCTAACAGGCTCTGGATGGAGAGCAGGATGGTCCTGACATCATACAGGGCAGACCACTTGTCCTTCAGGATATCCAGGCAGATGTTCCCCTGCGTGTCCACATTGGGGTGGTAGCAGGGCGTGAGGAACTTCACCGTGGGCGCATTGTAAGGGTAGCCACTGGGGAACTCTAGGGAGAGCTTATACCTCAGGTCCTCATATACCTGGCATTGGAGAAACAGAAGCGGGGAGTAAGCTTCCCAGCCCCACATAAGGGGCTTGCTAGGACCTTTTGAGTTTTTCTGGACTTGACAGAAGACAAAGTCTTACACTGGTTCTGGTGCGTTCTCTCATATCTGGTGGGGACATCAGCGACCCCTCGGCCTAAGGGTCCAAAGTGGCATTTTGAAGGTTATCACAGCTGTGCTTTCTAGTCCAGTTAGAACATTAGCTGCTAACATGTAAAAATCAGAAGATTTGGGGCACAGATCTGGATTTCTGACTAATCTTACACCAGATGTGCAGCTATTGTCTTGAGACTTGTACGCTTCCCCTCAGCCAACATCCTCGCTTGTCCTCCTTTCTTTTCCTTGCTGTCTGGCCCCCTTAGGCATCTAATGGAGCCCTGCTTTAATCCCACCTTTTTACTGTACAGGAGGGACCAGGGCCGCAGCTCAGAGCACGAGGACAGACACACGGGAGTGTCCTGCCTGGCTAAGTGCTCGAAGCAGATCAGGCGCTTGGATTTCACCGGCCACCTCTCCCCAGACCCAGCTGAGTCAGTCACCTACTCCAACCCTACACTTACTGTGCCAGCTGCTCCGTGGATGGTCCCCACCCATTTGAAAAGGTTGTCTGATTCAGGGAAGGCAGAAATTCCTTTGTCGCCAGACATCTGGAGGAAACACAACACTTGCTGGGCTGCAGAGTACACCTCTAGAAATCCTACTCCTCAATCCCATCACATTTTGATCCAAAATAAAGCAATCAGACCAAATTAACAGGTTTTTCCAAGGAAGTGGTTAGATTCTTGGGGCTGAAGATAACCCTTTGGGGAAGAGTATCAGGGTTATAAAGGTTCAAGGCCAGGTTAAGGAGGGAGGGGTCATACATCATGCAGGGAAGCAGAAGGCAGCTCTGTACCCACAATCTTGCTGGTTGCTGGGAATTTGACATGCTGCTCAGTGCCGGTTCTATACAAAGCCCAGGCTATTCACAGACTAGGGAAATATATGATCTGGGCATTGAAGGACTCAGGGTTAATGTAAAAAGGGTCATTTAGGAAGGAAATGTTCCAAGGAATGACAAGACTAGAAATTCTAAGAGGGGTGGAGAATTGGGGATGGGTAGAGCTTAGGGCCGGGAAGTATGGCAAAGCAGGACAGGAGAAGGCCTTGTATGGCTTCTAGGAACTGTATTTTAGAGATAACTTCATTGTGAGGAGATGGAATTAGGAGACTGCTGGAAGGAAAGGTGTAGGTGGAGTCTACGAACTTATTCCCGGAGGAAAGCAAACTGGACTCATCTTTTACTCCCGTGTCTAGCAAAGAGCCTGCTGTAGAAAGGCGGCTACTGAGAAGTGACTGCAAAGTGAGAGTGGGGACCAACTGGCTGAGGATCTGAGCAGGTAGTCACTCACCATGAGGGTCATCAACTCCTGCTGTAACCTGCAAAAAGGGCATTCTGAGTCACCTGGGAGTCTGGATGGGCCAGGGCTCCAAGTGGTCCCATCTCCTCCCACCCCAATCTCTCTGGAGGAGCTGTGACAGAGGATTCCCCAACCCTGAGGTCAGACTCAGCTTGGGTCACACTCACGCCCATTTCCAGGAGGGTCCTAGTGAGTGCTCACCCTCCCCGCGTCCAGGCTCTTACAGGACGGTTCTAGCGTGTTCTTACCCCCCACTGCTCCTCTGGCGTCCCTCCCTGTGCCGGCTCTCAAAATTTCTCCCCTTCGTCGCCCCCGCAAAGCCACCGAGGGTCCCCCGCGTATCTTCATCTTGGCTCACCCGTGGAAGATCCTGGCAGCGTCCCTCCACCTTCTGTCCTCCTTCGGGAGGGTCTGTAAGAGCAGCCCGAGCTCCTAGTGTCCCTCCAGCTCCCATATCTCAGCCTTTCCAGGAGGAGGGGGGTTCCCGGAAGTCTTTGCTCTAGGCCCCACTGCCCAAGGAGTTAGCTCCGCACCACTCACCTCTTGCCCACGGAGCCTCGAGCGGCGCCCCCGCTGGGCTCGGCTCCTTTACGGGCGGCGGCGACACTGGCGGCGGCTGGGTCGCGGTTCTGGGAGGCCATCCGGGCGGCACTGGCAGAGACACAGAAACTCGGGAGAACACGACTGTAACTGCAGGGCTGCGGGTCCGCGTTTGAATTGTAACCCTCGGCAGCTCTGACCAATCAGTAGCTCGCTTAGGTTTGATCCAGCCAATGGGGCACGCCGGAGGACTGTCACCGTGCAACTGCTAGGCTCACCCACCAGCGCACCACTACTGGGCGGCGGGAATCCCGCTTCTGAAGGGCGATTGGCTGGAGAGGCTGCCATTAAAACGATTCGGCAGCGGATTGGTGACCTTTGGAAAACGCCGACCATTAAAGGGCCAAGAAAAAGTCCACGTGGGATGAACACCTTTGGGTCAAACGCTCGACTACGGGCTAGAGAACCCAGCACATCCAGCCAGAATCCCTACTCCCAGGGTTAAGGAGGGTCTCCCATCTTGCAGCGCTGGTACGCATCCCTGAAACCGGAAACACTTGCCCCTCCCCCTATTGTAATGTCCAAGGCACTATGCGAGGGGAAAAACAGGAGGCTGATAGCCAAGTCTAGCAATAAACTCCCTACTAGAAAACAGGTTCATATGCTGCCTCTCTACATAATTTAGTGTTTTAACCTATACAATGAGGGTAATAAAAGCCATTCTGCATTTTTTTGGTCCCTCCCCCCCACGTGGTGCCATCCATCACATTCTGCTAGTTTCATACCTTAGTTGGAAGAAGAAATAGGACAGGGAGGTTGGCAAGGTGTTCGCAGCTTCCTCTCATAAAGCAAGATATATGTGCATGGGGCAGTGGGGACGTTCCTGGGCCTAACTTGGGAAGGGGGAGGGGTACGTGGTCTTTTTCCTATACCCACTTCTTCCAGAGCCCTTGATGTTTTTGTCACAGCAGGCTCACCATACATGTTTATTATTACAAACGATTTAATTGCTTCTTATCACAATAACTTTACAAATAAAGAACAACATGCCAGCCTGGGGGTGCTCTGCAGGAGTCACTACAAACTAGCCCAGGCATAGCTTAATGCTGCTGAGATCCATCTAGGAGCAGTCCCAGCAGTGGCCTCGGCCATGTGGGTAAGAGGGCCGTGGAGGAGGGCTGCCAGTGTAGAAAGTGTAGCCAGGGGACCTGGCTCAGGTCTGTGAAGGTGCAACAGCACGATGCTCATTCTCTGTCCGTTGTGTCTCCATGTACTTTCGCATCTTCTCAACCATCCAGGAGGGTAGGACAAAGGATTTCAGCTCCTCTAACTTCAGGTCCAGGCATCCTCTGGAACAGACATTGAGGAGAGAAGTTGAAGTAAGAGCGGATGTAGTCCCAGGCTCCTCCTGGGGGCTGCAGTAAGGCAAAGGACAGACCCACTGGTTTTACCTGTAGTCATCACTGGCAGCGAGGTCCCGGATGTCCTCCTCAATTAGGAGGTATGCCTGGGGCAGGAGCAAAGGAGAGGGATCACCACCTCTGATTCATTTCAGTCTAACTCTATGACACTTTAATAACATCTGCTTAATGTAAGGGCTGCAAAGGAGTGGGGCACAGTTTATAATTTAGTAGGGGACAGTAAGTAGGGAGAGACAGTCTGGGGAACAGTTCCTTGAGACAATCTTTCACTCAAATAGAAACATTATGGGTCGGGGAGTGGGGACTGGTGACTAATATAGTTATAACCGCCTCCTCTTAATAAAGGACCCAGAGGTGGCTAATAACAAAATGGCAAGAGAGCTAGCAAAATACACATGGAAACAAGAAATCAGGAGGATGCTATTATGTTAACTCTAGGAACTAAGATCATCCGGTTTTGAACTTTGTGGCAGAAGGGAAAACTTGAGAAACTGCACCGCTGTATCACTGTGGGCCCTGCAAAACTGCTTTGGCACAATGCCACGGTCTGCAGTGGGACAGAGCCCTCTTGTGAGCTTTCCATACAGTACAGGGGATGTTGTTCATCACATGAGAAAGTCTTCTGTGAGAAACACTCCTTTCAGTCTTAGGGTCAGGAACAACTGTGTGTGTCTTGGATAATTTGACTGTCTTCACTTAAGGGCCCTGGGAACTATGTAACAGACTAGGTGTCCTTGAGAGGGGCCTAGAGCTGAATTTCTGAAAACCTAGAAATGCACTGGTCTCCCAGGTCAGCAATTAAACTTTTTAAAA